CTCAACCCCTTCTCCCATCCCGTCCAGATTGACACCGGGGCCCTCCCCCACATCGCCATGCCGGACCTCTTGGCCGTCCGGTTCCTGGGGACCTCCTCGCCCGGCGAGTCCTCCACGCATGCCCTGGTCGCCGTCGGGAGCCACACCTCGGACACAATCACCCTCCTCCGTCTCGGTGGCCTGTCCTCCCCCGAGGCCTCCGCCCCGTCCTCGTCCGCCGCGGGCATCCACACCCTCTTCACCCTCACCTTGCCCCCACTTACGCGCCCCAAGGGCCTGGCCTTGCTCGGCTCCCGCCTCCTTCTTCTCACCGGCACCCGCGAGGGGGAGAGAGTGGCCCATATTGCCTCCTCGTTCGGGCAGTTCAACGCCCACCTGAGCATTTTCAACCTGCCTCCATCCGTTTACCACCCTACCCATTGCCCCAGTGCCCCCAGGCGCTACCGCATTCCCTTACTCGGCACCCCACGGCCTTTTCGCCCCTCTTCTCCTGCGCGGCTTCGCAGCTCGGACGCCGATGCCGGAAAACCCCGACGGCCGGCCAGCAGCCTGGCGGCCGTCATGGGCCGCCCTTTTCCCTTTCCTTGCCCCTCGCCGTTGTCGCACCTCTCCTCCCGGCCTCTCCCTCCCCCGGGCACGCCCACTGGCAGCAGGGCCCCGTCGCGCATGTATCCCGTGCCGCCGGTTCCTGTCATCCCTTCCCACACCGTCCCCGCCCCGACTGTCCGGGGAACGCGACCCGGAGGAGAGGCCCCTGAGCATGCCCACGCGTTCCACCCGCCACGCCCACCTTCCTGGACAAGCCATACTGGCGCCCAACGTTCACCCTCGCCCTCGGTAACCTCCCCGGGAAATCCTGTCGGCCGCATGGGAAGGGGTGAGGGCAACGGGAGCAGGCAGCACCTTGGTCTTGACGCTCGCGCCCCCCCTCCGGTGGGGAACAGCAGGCACAGACCGCTCTCCACCACGCCTTCCTCCACGGGCGGCATAGGCGACCGCAACCCTTCCCCTGCCCGTCTCACGGGCCTGGGCCCCAGCCATGCCACGAGCCTGGTATCCCGCCCGACCCCGCCCCTCCCCCTCCAGCGGCCCCAATCGGTCGCCTTTGGGACGTTCCCACGGGCTCATACACCGACACGGTCGGACCAAGGC